GGAAGGAAGGAAGGAAGGAAGGAAGGAAGCAAGGAAGGAAGGAAGGGAGGAAGGGAGGAAGGAAGGAAGGGAGGAAAGAGAGAGAGAGAGAGAGAGAGAGAGAGAGAGAGAGAGAGAGAGAGAGAGAGAGAGAGAGAGAGAAAGAAAGAAAGAAAGAAAGAAAAGAAAGAAAGAAAGAAAGAAAGAAAGAAAGAAAGAAAGAAAGGATAAAAGAAAGAAGAAAAAGGAAAGGATAAAAGAAGGAAGAGGAGGGGAAAGAAAGGAAAATTAAGTCCCAAAGGACTAATACAGGGGCTGGGGATTTAGCTCAGCGGCAAAGGGCCTGCCTGGCAAGCGCAAGGTCATGAGTTCAATTTCTGGTACCGGAAAAAATAAAAATTAAAAAACCAAAGGACTAATGCAGTCTGCGAGTGCGAGTGTGCGTGTAAGCATATGTGTGTGCTTGGGTGTGTGAGAGCGCTGTGTGCAGAGATGCCACTACGGGGGGTGGGGAGCCCCACAGGAGCCCCCTGCTCCCCTCGGCAGAGAGCCTTGATCTCAAGTGGCGCCAGGTCTGCCTGCGGTGACGGGGAGGAGGGCGGCCCTGGACTTCCACACAGCCTGTCCCACACCGTCTCCTGCGCAAGGACAAGCCAGAAATGCTAACGGCCCTTTAATTTCAGCATTTCTTACCCTATGGATTGTTCTATCCTCAAATGCCTTGTGCTAAATGTTTCCCAGGGTTGTTCCTGTGATCCCAGCGATATCCCCACTGGCCGTACACCCCAGGGCCTGGTGTCCATCGGTGACACGGCTCGGCCAGGGGCAGGTGAGAGGCCAGGGACGGGCTAGAGCTAGGGATGGTGGCGCTGAGGATTTGCTCAGCAGTGGCCCAGAGTCTCCTCCACACTGAGGCACGTGACAGGCCAGTCGTCCCTGGCACAGATGTGCTGCAGGCTGCTTTGCTGTGGCGAATGTTAAGGCGTAAGCTCATGTGGTCACGTAAGCCCTTGTCCTAGCTGAACACCTGGGAGTGGGAGCACGGGGTGGCATGGTAGGTGCACAGCCAACCTCTCTGGACACTGCCAGACTGTCACCCCACTGGCTGCCCCACCTTACAGGCTCTGGTCTGGCTTTTTTCTTACTTTTGTTCTAGTGATTCTGAGACGTTAAATATTTGGGAATGTTAAGAACTGATTGACAAAAACTATTATTTATTAAAAATTAAATTATATTAAAAATAAAGGAAACATGGATAATGAAACTGTGGTACTTAAAAAAAAAGAAACTGTGGTATTTACACACAGTGGAGTACTACTCTGCCATAAAGAAGGATAAACTTGAGTCATCTGTAGAAAATAGGTACACTTGAGGCCATAATGTTAAGTGAAATAAATCAGACACACAAGCTTAAATATTGTATGGTTTCTCTTATATGAGAAATCCAAATAAGTTAAGAGCAAAATAAAAGCTAGACAATAGGAAACAGGGAGCTAGATCTTTTGCAAAAGAGGACCAAGAGAGGAGGGGAAAGGATGTAAAAAGAATTAGGATGTATTATGTTCACGTACCAACTCCCTGCGCAGAAGATGGTCCTTCTTACTGTAAACATGGACCACACAAATAAAAATTCTAAAAAGGAGAAACTCAAAACCATCCCATCTTCACTGAGCACATTCACCGTTACCGTGGATTGACACACATCTAGGGGATGTGTGGGGTACAGATCAGCGTGTCTTGAGTCTCTCGCTAAGGTCCCCTCTGGTGACATGGGTTGGCGACGTGAGCCCAGCAGAGGTGAAAGAGCTACGCCACAAGTCAGCGCACCGGCACAGCTGGCTTAAGCACTGTGTAGGTTGCCCAGACCTAAGCAAACAACGGCCGAAACGATCTCGATGCAGGTTAAACTTGGGAGTACCATGAAGGCGCCAAGCTCTAATGCAGAGCTGTCACTCTGCTTCTCCCTGACGCAAGATAAGTGAAAGGAACCACATTTGCATGCGAGGTACGAGTCGCCGATGGGGCAGCTCCTGTGTGAGCATGCACTTCTGCTCACAGAGTTCCTGGAAAGCCAGCGGGCCCACACATAGGCGAAGGGCACACCTCCACCTCCGCCAGAAGGCAGGTCATGGCCTGTTGCTAACCAGGATGGCCTTCTGGCTCCTCCCCCGTCTCAGGACGGTCGGCCGTGGACCTGCCTCGTCATCCTGCCACCTCACACTTGTTGCAGCCCTAGTCACTATGACCTACTTCGGGTTCCCCAGACGGGCCTGGCTGGTGCAAGGCTGGAGACTTTGCTCACGTGAGTCACTTGGGCACGGCCACCCCGCCCCTTCTTACCTGCCCCAGCATTTGGCGGCACAGGCGGCCCCAAGAGACAAAAATGCCTCAGGGCGGGGCCCAAGCCAGGTTCCCTGGCAACCAGAAACCCAGTGAGGTGGCTGGCTTCTCCAGGGAGGCCTCCAGCCCTTCCCAGGGCCCGAAGCAGGTTTCTACTTCTCTGGGGGCCGCGGGTTGGCACCTGCTGTGTGCCCCACGCCCATACAAGGGTAGTAGGCACCTTCCTCTTCCCAGCACCCTGTACCTATCAGTCCACTCTGTGAACTGCAACTTCATGGAGCAGGGACAGGGTCCCCAGGTTGGCCCCCAGCAGGCAAGGGCTGCAGCAAGCTTGGCAGCCGGGCAGGTGGCAGCCCTACAGATGCAGCTCGCCTCGCCACTCTGTCTTGGGCACAGACACAGCCTGTGCGCCCCGCGGCCCTGCTCATCCATTTCTTGGGCCTCTGGGGTAACAAACCCAGGGGCTGGTACTCAGGATGACAGTATAGGGCCAGCCAGGCAGGTGGCTGGTGGCTCAGGGTCTACAGCCCCAGCCCATCACCCCTCAGAGCCGCCAAGCAGCACTACCATCTCCCTACCCACAAATCCACAAGGACGGGCCATAGCGGGGTGATGGGGGCCTCCACTACAGCCCAACATGGCTCTCTGCCTCCCAAGGGTCTGGCCAGTGAGTTAGCTGGTGAGAAATTGATGTTTATTGATAAACAGGAAAGGAAGGGGTCGGGAAGAGCAGATTGCTGGGTTCACAAGCTGTCCAGAGGTAAGGCAGGCCAGCAGCCTGGCAGGTGCATGGGTCCAGGGCTCTCCACTGGGCAGGGCCAGGCAGAGGTGCAGCAAGGTCCCAGTCTGGGCCAGCTGCAGGCTTGAGCTGGGCCAGGTGAGGAAGCCAGCGAAGGAGCGAGTGGTCAGGCCTCGCTGTGTGGGCCATCGGGCGGCAGGTACATGGGTTCAATGTGCAGCCAGCTGCGGGCCTGCTCGTCAGCCCAGGCAAGCAGCTCAGTGGCACGGTGCAGGAAGATGAGCAGCAGCGTGTGTACGTCACCCTCGGCAGAATGCGCTGCACTCGGCTCAGCCCCGAAGTAGCGGTGGAACAGGCTGCCCAGGCTGTAGCCCTTGCGGCCCTGAGCCCGGGTGCCATGGCTGTGGGCGCGGTCCAGGCCCCGCAGTGCCGGCAGCGTGTCCAGGCAGACAGTGTCCTGGGGCAGGTGGGCACCCAGGCGCTGTAGCTCCGTGCACAGCAGGGGGAAGTCGTAATCAAAGCCGTTGTGGGCCACGAGGCAGATGGGGCCCTCCTGGCGGCTCAGGAAGGCCTGCAGGCTCCGCACCACGGCGCTGTCAAAGCCGGCCTTCCGGCACTGTGCCAGGCCCTCACTGCTCAGGCCGGTAATCTCGCTGGCCTTGGCAGTGAAGGGCCGTTGCGGGCTCATGCACAGTGTGAGCTTATCCAGGATGCGGGGGAGCACAGGGGCTCCAGACTCGCCACGTTCTGGATTTTCCAGGGAGGAGCGGTGCACAGCAAAAAGGGAGATCTCTGCAATCTCTGGGTCCATGCTGGGGAGCCCAGTGGCTTCCAGGTCCAGAAAGACAAAGGTCGCGGCCGGGGGCAGCTCAGACATGGTGGTCTTCTCACAGGGACAGGGCCTGAAGCTGCCGGAGCAAGCAGGAAGAGGCTACAGAGACAAGGACGTGCTGGCCCCCAGCCCACCCCATGCAGCCTTCGCCTCCAACAGTGGCTTCCCCTAGGGGCCGCCACAGCACTGGGATCAGGGCCCAGGGCCTGTTACTGTCCCTTCTGCCCATGATGGGGCCTCCTAGGGACCCGCTGCCCCCTCCTTTCTGTCCCTCAACCCCACTCCTGCCACACAGCAAGGAGCAGAAAGCAGGCTGGCTGTGATCAGATCAGGCCCGGAGCCCTCCGCCTTTCGCCACCAGACCCATGGCCGGCACAGGCCCAGGCAATTCTGGGAAGGCAGGCAGCCCACCAGTGGCATCTGGCCCGAAGTGGGCTATGGGCCAGCCTCCCTGGCAGAGCAGCACTGCCCCAGCTGGTTCTGCCCGCTTTGGGGCCTGATGGCCATCCTCACCGACCCCACTGCGCCGGCTTACCTAGAGCAGGAGCTGGCTGGCGTCCTGAGCTGCTGGCTGCTGGCACCTGTCTCCGCACGGGCTGCTCCAGGCGGCCTTTAATCAGCGGCTGTGGCCCGCCCCCAGCGCGTGTTGGGCAACCAGGGGCCCGAGGCTGCAGGACCTGCGCAGCCGGCTCATTCGCCGCCCCCTCGCCAGCACACCACCACCACCACCACCACCACCACCACGACACACGCCCGTGTTTACACATCGGGAAGCAGGCTCCACACATGCAGGCTGCCGATGGCAGGAGGAACGTGTCCTCACAGGCACGAGGAAGCTGGGTCCGGCAAAGGTGGTGGGGGCCCAGCAGCAGCTATCAGACCCGGCGGACCCAGGCTACGTTCTGGGACATCACCCAAGACAACATGTCCCCTGCTCAAGACCCTGGCTTCCCCTCGGAAGTGAGGCAGTGCCAAGCCGCAGCAGCCTATGAAGGGGAAGGGGTACTCTCCAAGGACAAGCCCTCAGCGTCACCCAGCCTGGAATGGCTGCTGCCCAGCTGTGGGCCCATCTCCCACCAGGAGGGGGATGGATCCGCTTCGAGTGTGACGGCCCAAGACGTCGAACAGGCACTTAGCAGAAGCTGTGACGAAGGCAGCAGGGCTAGCAGGTAAGGGGACAAGGTGACACAGCCAGCTGGGAGGCCTGGGAGCCCAGGACCAAGTGTGACACCCTCAGGCCTTCATGCCCACCTGGCTCTGAGTGCAGGGCACCATCAAGATGGAGGGTGGCTGTAAGGCCACGCTCAGTCCAGAAGGTGTGTGGCACCCCAAGGATCTCATTCTGGAGCACGAGGGGGCAGTACTTGACAGCAGGGGCACAGAGCAGCCCTCACGGACCTCTCACATAACTGACTCACCTGGACAGCGGTGACTGGGCCACAGGGGCCCCCTGGCCTCGAGTGCCCACAGGACACTTGGGGGAGCAAGGAAGGGCGGGGTCCCACCAGTCCTGCCTGTTCCCAGGCTCCAAGGAAGGGAGGTGGCGGTGGCAGGTGCACTGCTCAAGGAGATACTGGGTCACCCAGGAAGCCCAGGGAGCTGGGCTTCCGGGACAACCAGTCAGGTGACATCAAGAATTTCCAAGCGGGTACTGAGCACCTGGGCAGGCGGGAGGACAGGCCAGCTTCCGGGGCACAGGGCTGCAAGGAGTGTGCCCTGGGACCCTGAAGTTGCAAGGGCAGGGTGGGCCACCTCAGGCTGCAGCAAGGCGGGGTGGGTGGGACATGCCAAACTTCACTGGACAGCTGTGGGAAGGAGTGTGAGCAACAGGTAGAGGGGACCTGGGCCACTTCGGGACAAAGGAGATCACGCAGCACAGGCTGGAGGGGAGAGGGGTGACACAGAGTGACAGAGGCAAAGAGCAGGTGAGGGACAACTTATTGGGGGAGCCTGAGGTTTCCCATCCCTCCCACCCCACCCCACCCCCCACCCCCAGGAGCTGAGGCTGCAGCCCCATACTATCCCATGCCCTTCTGCAGGCTGTCGTTGAAGATCTGGTACTTCTGTGTTAGTTCTTCTATTTTGGTGGCTGCAAAGGAAAGAAAAACATAAAAGCCAAGTGAGGTAAAAGCTTCCAGGCTGGGAGAGGTGGGGCATCGTGCTGAGTCCCCTCAGCGATGGCAGGGAGGGCCCGAGCTGGCTCTTGAGGAGCTCACAGCCTGAGGCCCAGTGTCCACCGTGGCCCTTGGGGAGCTGCGAAGAGGGCCTGTGGGTCCCAGGCTGCATCCCGCGGACCACAGCACTGCATCAGGGCCCGGGCCAGGCCATGCTGTCCCACTACCCCCACCCGCCACTCCAGCAGCCAGGGGTTGTCTTGATCTTGATGGTGGGTTCTATCTGACTCACACATTCCCAACGTCATGAGACAGACCCAAGGCAGCTGCTGTGACCCGGCTTCCCAGATGCACATGGAGCCCACCGCACGAGTTCCCTAATTTCTGTCACACCTGTTTCTTCCGTCCCTTCTTCCTGGAGTGTCCTCGCTCATCCTGCCTGTCCCCTCCCCTCTTCCAGCCCCAGGCTCAGCAACACACTGCCTTTCACAAGGCGAGGACAGTACCACTGACCTGAGCTGCACTGACGGCCCCAAGTCATCAGTCTCTGCCCACCCCAAGGGGGGCCCCAGGGTAAGGCCTGAGTGGGTGGCTCTGCTCAGAGCCAGGACCTTCAGCTGTGCCCTGGGGACCAGCTGTAGCATCATCAGCGCTACTAGTGGTGTCCAGGGAGCGGACATCGCCCAGCAGACGGTGCCTCCCCTTTATCAAATGCAGAGGTGCTCCCCGCTCTGCAGGGAACCCAGGCTCCGAGAGCCCAGCCTCTCAGCCTCCATCCAGCCTCAGCGCTCCCAAAGCGCTTCCACCAGGACCACTCCGGAGGTCAAGCACAGCTTCCTCCCTCCGAGCTTCAGCCCCCGACCCCAGCTCTGGAGCTCCCGGTGGCAGCGGGCGGGGTCCACGCTGGCATCTTTAAGGCTCCAACATGCTCCGGACTTAGAAAGCAGGCCCTGGACCAACTCAGCTCTGCGGGCGTGACATGTCCCTTCCTCTCGGCCCCTGGGGCTGTGAGTGCCACTTAGCGCTCGGCTCATGCTCCCATCTCCTCTCTGTTCTTAGAGACTGGACACCTCGTTCTGTTTTCCTGGGCTCTTCCAGGTGTCCAGGTGAGGGTGGATGGCATGCCAAGCGGGCTCACGGGTACGTATCTGAGTGTCAGCTGGGTCACACATCCAGATCTTCTCTCTTCACAGTGCCCACTGCACCTCACCCACCCCAGGCGGCGAGAGTAGCCATTTCCAGCAGGGCCGCTCCCGGGGAGTTTGGAGCAGTGCTGCGCAGGGCGGGGCTTGGAGCCTCGGAGGCCAGGAAGGCACCTGTGTGTACCATTTTCTTCACAAAACAGCAGGCAAGGGTTCCCGCCCTGAACACCTGCCAGATCCCACCCCCCAAGCAGACCGGCCCCCCACTGCTGCCCGGCAGCGCAGCCTCCTCACACTCCTGACTCCCGCCTTCGGCTCCCGTCCACCTCACAGTGGCCGCCCATCAGCGAGGAAAGGGAGCAAAACCCTAACCGTTTCTCCAAAGTCAGTCTGGGAAGCAGCTACATGTCCATGGACAGACAGATACATGTCCATGGACAGACAGAGAAACTGTGTGGCTGCTCACTACACTCAGCCCCTGGGAAGGGTGCACCTTGAGACTGCAGTGTTAAGGTGAAAGAAATGGGACACCAAAGCTTAACTATCACATGGTTTCTCTGAAAGGAGAAACCCAGGGTACAAACCATCTAAAGAGCAAACTAAAAGATACATAGTAGAAAACAGGGAGATAGATCTTTTGCAAAAGGGAAGCTGACCGAGGGACAGAGGGAGGGGAAGGAACACAGAAAGAATGAAGATGAGTCATGTACAGGTACCACTCCCCGCAAGGAATGCAATCACTGTGTACTAAAAACATGGACTAACCAAAAACTTTTAAACCCTTCACAACAATTCCAGTTGCAGACCTCCTCTGGCCAGGCGTGGTGGTGCATACCTGTCATTCCAGCGCGCAGGAAGCCGAGGCAAGAGGATCGCTGCTAGTTCAAGGCCAGCCTGGACTACACAGTGAGTTCAAGATTAGGCTGGACTACACAGCGAGACCCTGTCTCATAAAACTAAAGGAGGGCAACCCATTCAGAACCCCTCCTGTCTCTCAGGAGCTATTCCCTCTTCCATTCCTTTCCCAATAAATTTTCCCACTTTTTTTTTTTTTTTTTTTGGTACCAGGAATCGAACCCAGGGCCTTGCACTTGACAGGCACGTGCTGTACCACTGAGCGAAATTCCCAGCCTTAATTTTGCCACTCTTAATCTCTATAACTCCATAGAATACATTCAACTTCAAGGAACACAAACTCAGCGTATCGGACAACCAGCAGGGTGAACTTCTGTTTCTCATCTTGGTCTTTAAACTCTCCTCAGCCCACCGAGCTTCTGAGGGTGGAGCCTCTGCTGTGCTTCCCTTGCTCCGCTCTCCCAAGAACCTAAGAGTCAGTTCTTCATGAAAGAAGCACTGGACTAGGAGCCAAGAGTAACTCTTCACTAACTTGGTATTGTGCAAGTCATCCTACCTCCCTGGATCACAGCTGCCTCATCTGTAAAAAAAGAAGATAAAAATTCTTTACCTGTCTGAAGAAGAAGTGGGTGATAAGGAAAAGCAGAAGCTCCTTCCTCCTGACCTGATATTGGGGAAAAAATGAGGTGCGGGACCACTCTACTATGGTATTGCTTGCTCTGGGTCCCACATCTACTTATCGCTCTTCACGCTGTGCCTAGAGACATGGACAAGAGAAAAGTACAAAATACCGAACCTGTGGCCAACGCAAAGATAGAACCGCCAGATACTGGGCTCTATTCTGATGAGTATCTCAAGCAAGTTGCTGATGTGCTGGAAACATAAACCTTTCAGAGAAAAGCTCAGAGAACAGACACAGAGGAAATAAAGAGTGGGAAGCCAAGCAAAGAGCTGGCCTTAGTAAGTCACCTCGTGAGGACAAAACCTGACGAACTGAAAAGGCAAGAAGCTGGAAGGTTAAGAATGCCAATTACAACTAAATTAGATTCCCTTTAAGATATAGGGCAAATTCTCTCTGATGAATGTGATCGTTATCTATAGCCAAAATGTACCAATAAAATCTAATATAAAAATAAAAAAGATAGAGGCATGGACCACCAAGCTCTTCTAAAACAATTTGGTCACCAAAACCATATGAACCCTGGCAAGTTTGAATCCACACATTTAGATATGCTAATCAAAGTGGCAACAAATGACCTGGAACAGTACAAGACTGCACACGAAGAATTTAAAAACATGAAACAATGAAGGAACATGAACAGAGACAATATTGAAAAACACTATATAGAGAGAAAAGAAGAATCTAAATTTGAAGAAATGATGGGAAAGCATGAAAAATCATCCCGAAGTTAATCATCCAGGAAACAAAGACCAACTAAAGGAGGTATGAGAAGAGGCTCACGGACCGGACCCTAACGACTTTGATCCCAAGACATTTTTCAAGCCCCGTGACGCCAACAGTGACGGATTCCTGGATGAACAAGAATTCGAGGCCCCGTTCACTAAGGAGTTGGAGAAAGTGTATGATGCCGAAAATGAAGAGGTGGAAGAAAGGCTTCGAATGAGGAAAATGTAATGAATGAGGCTGTTACAAACAAAGACTGACTGGTGATGCGGGAAGAATTTTTTAAAGCTACAGAAATAAGGAATTCTTGGAGCCAGAGAGCAGGAGACACTGGATCAGCAACAGTTCTTCACAGAAGAAGAACTAAAAGAATATGAAAATATTATTGCTTTACAAGAAAATGAGCATAAGAAGGCAGATGAGCTTCAGAAACAAAAAGAAGAGCTATAGCAGCACGACCAGCTGGAGGCTCAGAAGCCGGAGTACCATCAGGAAGTAGAGCAGATGGAACAAAGAAACTTACAACAAGGAATCGCTCCATCAAGTTCGACTGGAGAACTGTAGCTCGAGCCACACACGTCAAGTTCCCAAGAACTTGGAAGAAAACTGTTCATTCAACATTTGTTTCATCTTTTAACTCCTTTTCTTTCGTTCTGCTTAATAAATATTTTAAAGCATAAAAAAAAAAAAAAAAACCAACTCCTCTGGCAGACAAGAGCGGTGAAGCTCTCAGCGGAGGCCCACTCCCTGCTCCTCAGAGTTTGGACCCATCCCCAAGAAAGACATGCGTGGACTTCCTCACTACCTTCCCAACTAACCCTAAAGGCCTGAGGAAGTGGCCTTGTCAAAATGTGGCCACGAGCATAATTTGAAATGCAATACAGCTGCTTCCCAGGGGTCTGCACAGGGCTACGCGATCCAGGACAGACTTTCTTTATATGATCGCACTCAAGCCCAGCACTGTCCCGTTGCTTCCCAACTCTCAGGAAAAACCCCGTCTCTCACCCTGACCACACTTCCTCTCCAAATCCTGCCCGCTGTCCTCCTTGATAGTGTCCCTTGATCTAAATAAACTCTTGACTGGTAAGTGGTTAAAACAGCATGCTAGAAAATATGTAATGCTAAAGAAGTAATAGAGGGCCGGGGATATGGCTCGGTGGCATAAGCACCTGCCTGGTAAGTGCAAGGTCTTGACTTTGATTCCCAATATTAAAAAGAAAAAAAAAAGAAGTAATAGAAAAAGAGAGGATTAAATAAGATCTAAGAATTATAGAAAACAAAGAACAAAATGGCAGATGTAAATTCTACCTCATCAATAACTATATTAAATGCAAAATAATTTAAAAACTCTATCAAAAGGTAGATATTGGCAGAATGGATAAAACAGGCTAGCAGTCCCTCAGGAAGTAAAGCTGAAGTCATGTTGTGAGCCAGTGATTCTCCTAGGCGTAGACTCGAGAAGTGAAAACATTCACACGCAGACTCATACGCAATGCTCACAGCACTATTAGTCACGACAGACAGAAACAACCCACATGCCCACCAAGGGACGATAAACAACGTACACTCGATCCACACAATGGGAAATTACTCAGCCATGAAGTGGAATGCACTATGTGAATAAACCTTGAAAGTAGTATGCTCAGTAAAAGAGGCCAGGCACAAAAGGCCACATAGTTTATGTGTCTATTTTTAGGATGTCCAGAAGGAGCTGGAGCTAGAGGAATGGGGAATGACTGCTAATGGTATGGGACTTCCTTTTAGGGTGATGAAAATATTGTGGACTTAGTAGTGATGGTTGTACAACTCTGCCAGTATCCTAAAAGACTGGACTGCACACGTGTAAAACGGTGAATTTATGGTATGTGAATTAAGAGCTCAGTAAAACTATTATGAAAAATAGGGCTAGGGTGTGGCTCTGCAGTAGAGCCAAGGCCTAGCGAACCCCGGGCTCGATTTGTAACACAAGAAAGAGACAGAGAAGGGACAGAGATGAGAAGAACAAGGTAAAGAAACTACCTTCCTTCTTTGTGCTTATTCTGCCATTTATTTTCTAATCTCCTAAAATACAATAAAGGTACGATAGGGAAAAAGACAGACACAGAACAGAGAACCCTGAGACCCACGTATGTATGCATACTTAACTCAAAGAGGTGATGGGACTGTAAGCCGAGGGGGGAAAGAGTAGATTTCCATTACATGATGCTGGGACACTGTGTACCCACGTAGGACAAACTGAAGTTGGACCCCCACCCCACCCCACACCGCACCACACCCAAAAGTCAACCCTGGAAAAATGACTAACCCACCTGCAGACAGTAATGCTCTATAAAGAGCATGGAGCACTGTGTGCTGGAGTAGGAAAGCCTACACTTAAAGTAAAATCTACTGTGTATGAAAAGACCACATAAAAGGTCTGTAGAGATAGTGGAAAGATATGTGAGGACTCATGTGTAGAATATAAACAGGGTTGTGCATCCATGAGGTAAGATGAACCAGCCCAACAGAAAAATGAGAAAGACTCAAACAGGCACTTCGTGAAAGAGAAAAGTTCAATGGGCAGTAAGTGCATAAAAAGCTACAACCCTGCTAGAAATCAGACAAATGCCAAAGACGGAATGAAATGCCTTTTTATACCTACCAAATAGGCACCCACGGGAAAGTCAGACCAGGGCAAGGGGCACTGAGTGTGTAGTGCAGTACGCTGCCTCCTATCCTGCACAGGCGGGTGGGCCGCAGGGCAGGAGGGAGTGCTTCTGCCCCAGACTACAGAAACTGGCCGCGCGTGCACAGGGGTGACGGCCAGCATGCTCACGGCAGCAACCTCACTGACCACCCGCACATGCAGGTAGAGCAGCGCGGAAAAACAGCACGGCGAACGCCGGGGCTGGAACGCGACACATGACAGATAGCCCGCTGCTTGGTTTTGTAAGAGAAACGTTCCAAAACACAGCCGCACTCATTTGCTCGCATTCCTCTGCGGCTGCTTTCTCGTGACCATGGTGGCACTGCGTCCTGCCATGGACACCACACGGCCCTCCAGGCGGAAAACACTGACCGCCTCATCCTCGACTGAGAAAGCTGGCCGACCTGTGCCACATGGCAATGGAACGACCCAATTACAAACAGAGCACAGAAACCTGGAAAAGAAATAATGATCAAGTCAAGACAGCAGAGACTGGGGCAAGCAGGAGCGGCACACCGTTCCACTCCCCACCTGGGCTGCGCTGACCCAAATACCCACTGTGAGATCATCTGATCTGGAATACAGGGTTTCACATGAAACCGGGAAAACATCCACACCAAACCGTCTGTAGAGCCCTAGCAGTTGATGCTGTCTGAAAATGCTGTTTCTATTCTTCAAAAAGAACAGACTTAAAATGTACATGTCTACAATTAAAGAAGACAGGAGAAAAGTTAGTTAAAAGTGAGTTCAGCTGGGGATTTAGCTCAGCGGCGAAAAGCGCCTGCCTGGCAAGCGCAAGGTCGTGAGTTCGGTTCCCGGTACCAGA